GCCCTATTGTTATGTTTTTTAAATGATTTTATACTTTTTAAAAAATTAATGGTGTTTTCATAAACCTGTTTGAACATTTTGTTGTTGTTGATTTAGTAGTCTTTGTGAAACTGAAATAAATAAAAATTTTATTAAAAGGGAAAAATGTAATGGTGTTTTAAAGTGATGATTTTTTAACTGTGTTTTAACTTATTTTGTCAACAGGTTTTTAGATAATCTTGTTTTTAGCCTCTGTAAGCCACCTTGCATCCCATGCATACCCCACCCCAAGTTGTTCCATATTTATTTAAATATTCATATCCCTCTTTATGTCACACCATCTCAGTGTACAAATAAAATCAATGTAAATAGATTAAAAGAATTTAAAACAATACAATAATAGAAACAGACTAAATATATATTAAACACATTAATAATTTAGAACACATTAAAAAGGTTAAAACAGTTTAAAAATATGTGCATTAAATTTTACAGGGGGGTGGGTGTGTACTGGTGTAGGATTTTATACTATGTATTTTTATTGTTGTTAGCCACCCCGATTGTGCTCAGAGGGGCGGGATATACATAAATTATTATTATTATTATTATTATTATTATTATTATTATTATTATTATTATTATTATTATTACAGTGAATCACGTAGGCTCCCCAAAACTTTAACAAACAGCCATGAACATGAAGCCAACATTGGCACCAATCTGGCCTCCAAGGGGAGGACATTGCACAACTTGGGGCACAAGCTGAGAACCTTATCTCTGGACCTTATCTGGTAGACATTTTTGGTTCCTCCCTATATTTAAAGGCATCTTTGTTCTTTTAAAACAGCATTCTCTGGGAGCCTTTTAATTGTTTTTACTCTATCGCTTTTGCATGCCTGTCCTATCGCTATGAGAATAGGGTTATTAGCAAGAGAGTCATGAGCCCCAGTGCTACACAAAGAGGTGGTCTATGGACTGGTGCCAATCCACAGCAAGTTTCCAGGAAATAAAAAATGCAAGCAGTCATAGTCAATGGGTACAAATATGGTACTGGTCCCTGACCCATTGAGGAAAAAAACACTAGTGGTTCCTTACATCAGATAGGTTAAAAAGCCCTGATATACATCACCTCTATAAACTGGTACCACTGTGAGTACCCCTCTACCATCTCTTCTAGGATGTAAAATGTCCAAATTTGCATTTAAATAGACACACTTCCAAGTGAAGCTCAGTAAATGCAAGGTCAATTTTTTAATAAGGAAGAGAATGGAGAAGCCTCACTGAGGGATCAAATCAAATCAAAAAGGAGAAGGTTGTGTGTGTTGTGTGCCTTCAAGTTGTTTCCAACTTATGGAGACCCTAAGGTGAACCTGTCATGGGCTTTTCTTGAAAAGATTTCTTCAGAGAAGGTTTGCCATTGCCTTCCCCTGAAGCTGAGAGGGTGTGACTTGCCCAAGTGGGTTTCATGGCCTAGTTGGGAATCAAACTCTGCTCTCCAGAGTCATAGTCCAACGCTCATTCAGACACTGAAAGCTGCCTGCAAAGCCAAGCACTGTTCCTCAGTGAAGCTGGTCTATTTCAGCCTGGTAGCCAGGAGTCACACAGATGATGATGATGATGATGATGATGATGATGATAAATTTATTTCTATCCCACCCCTCTGCAACGCAGATGACTAGGACAGGTGAGTACAGTGACAGGTTGAAGGCAGCCAATGTCACAGCAGGTAGTCAGGGCACACACTAATATGTACCAAGGGTATTGGTATTTCTGATACCAACATAGTCTTGCATAGACACAAAGACTCAGGGGGGTTGCAGACTGTCAGAAATAGTGCAAATTCAGTC